GCTTTCCGTATTCTCTGTTTTATATTTAAACATCCAGTATGCTTATGTGAGTATACGTTAATACATAATGATTCTTTCGGTACTCTGACGTAATTATAAATTAATATACATTTTAATATACATTATTGATTTAAAGTAACAAATGATCTGATTGAAATAAATGTATTTCAGCATATGTTGCCGGAATTCAATGAAGTAAACGTTCTTATATAAATATCAAATAAATTTACTGTCGATGAACGTACATTTGTACATTTTACTCAGTAAAATATATCCTTATTGAATATATCACATACAAATTTAATAGAAAGATGAACAGTTTGTATTTTCTTTGTAAACAGCGTCATACATTCTCGAAAGACTGAGAACTATTTGATGAATCCGGTTTATGGAATTTGTTTGTTGCTAATAATTATATTAATGAAGTAATAACTTTTAAAATATGGAAATATGGTTTTCTTTTAATAATAGATTTGTTTACAATTTTAATTTATTTTTTAAAGTTTAAATCTAAATAATTAATCAATAATTTTTATTAAACTGAATATTTACTAAAAATAGATAATCATTTCTTAACAATATTATGAGCATGTTATAATTCCTATATGTATTTATAGTGCGGCTTCACAATACTATGGTTGGACAATTTTAAATAATCTAAATTTTACTTGAGCAAAATTAAAATAAATTTAAAAAAATCAGTATCATTTATTTAGGTGAAACCGTACTATGCGAGATATTGATGTATATAATTCTTGAGTTAAGTTGTGAAATTATAAACTGATCTTAAATTTAACTGTTATGTTAACTAGCTTTAATAGTACGATTGTAGTTATATTCAATGAAATATATATATTTTTTTTATTATATTTAAAACTCGTGTATTCATGATATAGATAAGTATTTTTAAATTGAATTACTGTGGAATATCGAAATTCCACACTATTCATCGATTCAAACGGTGCGAGGCAGAACGTTTCATAACGGTTTAAACAACTTAACAAAAGGGGGATCGCTCGCCCAGTGGTTAAGTTCTACCACTTATGCGATGGAGTCATGGGTCCGAGTCCCCACCAATTATAAAAATTATAAGTCTGTGACTGGCCAAGAAGACTCTGAAGATAAGTGCCTCGAGCACATGTTGAGGAATACCGTGGAGTCTTGAAAAAAATTGAAATGCAATCTCCAAATTTTTCTACGTCTATGCATAATAATTTTTTCTATACATGTATAAAAAAAATATATGTATATTCATTTTTTTGAAACTTCAAAATAGAAATAGTTTGATTGGTAGGTTGTTAACATAAATTACTGCACTAAAATCATTTAAGCATTTTCTTATTACCGTTAATTAATGAAGAAAGTAACTTATTTCGACACAAACGACAATTACTTACATTGATATTGTTAATTTGAGATTATTATACGAGTCTGATAATAACAATGTTTACATGATAAACAGTATTAGGATAAGTAAAACTAGTTCGTTAAGCAATTAAGTCACAGATTATATATAATTGAGTGATAATAATCATATATGTGGAACAAATTTATACAAAAAAAACATATTTTATAATTAGTTCAAATTTTTTTTTTAATTATTCTTTTGTAAATGGTGAATACGTAAAATTTAGTAACTTTTTAAAATTGATAAATTAGAAACTATTAAGTAGAAATGAAAATATGTTTTGTAAGTTATATTTATTTTTATCACTCAAAATATATATAACAAAGAAATCGAACTTTTTTGTAATTTTAATGTGAATGTTTCTGAAAACTTAAAAAATTACAGATTTTACATTAAAAAATATCTATAATTTTATATTATGAAAGATTAGAAATCGATAGAAATAATTAATTTATAATGAGAAGTAAATCGTTTTATAAAGTAGTATTATTGCATGTAATTTGCACCAGAAGATAAAAATAATGTAAATAAATTATATAGCTTTATTGAAGGTAGGGTTTGTCTATTTTTTAAAAATGTATAACTTTAGAAAATGCTATGGAAAAATCTAGAGAAGTTATTTCGTCCTTCTCTAAAATACACAAAAAAATAGTTTTGGTAATTAAAAAAATATATATTCAAAACAAGATCTGTAAATATTCCTTTCTTTTTAACATCACTTTCCGAGAAAAAGAAGAAATTTTGTTTGTTACACTTTTATGTAATATTCTCGATACTTAAGTTAAATTTTGTGCGAAAATAAAATAAGTTGTAGAAATCCTTTTTTTTTATATTTTTTGTCAAAATTTGTAGAATAGTTGAGATTCGAAAACCGTTTTTTTTTAAATCGGCTTTTGTATAAATCGTAATTGAATATAATTAAAATATTAAATGTATAAAATAATGTAAAAAATGTATAGTGTATATGAGAAATAATATAATGGAATACCTCGATTTAAATCTGTACGGTTTGAAAATATCAAAACAATCTAAATTTTAATTGAGTAAAATAGAAATAAATTATATAATAACGTTTAAAGTTCTCGATTAGTCCGGTTTCAAAATGTGCATATTGGTGCACCCGATTATCCGATTCAACAAAAAATGTCTATAATTTTTATATTTGTTTAACAATTTTTTATTTAAATTGTATACATTTAATTCTGACTATTTTAACATTATTTCAGTACTAAAGATTTAGTTAATGTTATTTGTTGTAGACATTTTTATAAGTTTTAAATTTTAAACATTAACCATCAAACATTAATACATATATAAATGTATTTGATGACTTGTCTTTACGATCTTGCGAAACGATCAGCATTATAAAACTATAAACTGTAAATATATGATTATAATATGTTATCATTCGTCAACTTTGAGAAATATATTACCGTCTTTGATACTTGTACCTGCATAATAGAATATGCCATATTGTATTGGAATATAAGTTGTAAAATTACACGTTTCATATATTCCTTTCGTTATGGAGTTATTATTAAGTGTTCCGCTCATTCCTGCCTATCCAACAGAGTGACACTCTTATGACAATCCACACTCGCAACATGTAAAGTTGCTTTTTGCGATGTTCATAAAGCGAGACGGAGCGGATTCAGACGGAAGGAAGCTCGTGCAGATCTTCTATCACGAATCTACAACCAGTTTTCTTTGATATCAATACACGTCGTGCGCATTGCGATCAATGCTGATGCAACGTCAAATGGCGCCGCCTATTTGATTGATCTCGTTAGTACACATTTCAAGATCATTTAATAGAATAAGTGGATTTTCCACATAATCCGTGCATATAGACTTGATTTATATCGTCTCCCTCGATTTACATTTACACGTAAATCACATATTTCATATCAAAATCTGCGAGTCGGATGTGCGAATCCTCGCTCCACGCCTCACGATATCTTTGGGTTATTATGCATGCATTCAGATTGGCGTTTGGAAATGCAGCGCATATAAAACATTCAATTGCCGGTGGCAACCTAAATAAATGAAATAACTATGTGTGCTTATGTAAAATTTGTTACAGTTCAAATAAGTCGTCCATTCAAGTAATAGGTACATACTTGTTTTGCTATTAGTATGGTAACACTATTTTCAACAATTGGAAACTGTTTTTCAAATAAAATGTATAACAAATTCAATTTTATATGAATTTTACTGGTCAAAAAGTAAATTATTTAGTATAATCACATTATTAAATATTATAGGATTATAGAGAATTATAAAACAATATGTATGCTAATATCTTTAAATTATGTTCTGATTATAATAATATTATTTTGTCAGATTTACATATATATCTCCAATATTCTCAAATATTTCGCATACTTTATAAAATATAAGGCGAACCCAAAATGTATGAGACAATTTGTAAATAATATAAAATAAATTATTAAATAAAATTTATCTGGACCACAAGACGTTACATAATTCTCAATTTTCTATGTACAAAGATGTGTGTTATGGTCGAAAAATACTATATAAAAATGTTTAAATGTGATAATTATTTAATGGTTAGTTTATTTTTACGTATAGATTAGAAATGATTTTGCCATTAATTCTTTTTTTATTATATTTCGTTATGAAACTATATTACAATGAAACAAACTTATGTTTATTATTGGGTTGTTACGTAAATTTGTTCGTATTTTGGTTACTGCACACGCTGACGTCCAGTGGTCGGTGAATATTTAGGTGGGACGGGATTTTTGATTACGACAATTGTGGCTATATTTTAGTGCAAACTTTATTTAATTCTTCTATCTAGTATGTGATTTTATGTAGGGTGAAATAGAATTTTTGCAATACAAGTTGTCAAAAAGATATGCGATGTCTAGATCTTGGTCTAAAGAAGATTGTGCTCCCCAGACATCACCAAAGATTAGCGTACATCCAATGAAAGTGATGTTGTGCATTTGCTATGATTTCAAGGGTGTTGTCTTTTGAGCTGCTACCAAACTATCAATTCGGTCAAGTACTGAGAACAACTTGATAATTTGTGACAGCTCTTGCCCAAATAATGATCTGCATTGGTTAATAAAGGACGAATATGTTTTCAATATGACAATGTGAAATCTCATATATATGTAATCATACTACAGAAGTTCATAGGGTTTTCATGGGATATACTACCTCACCCTCCATATAGTTTAGTCATCGCACCATCCGTCTACCATTTGCTCCGTACTGTACAAAATGACCTTAACGAAAAAATGGAATCTTTGAATGACATCAAAATACACCTTGTCAGCTTTTTCTTGGGCGTTGATGCTTTTTTCATATAATAATATAAGAAGAAAATAATACCATCACTATATTTATTACAACAAATATATCATATATACAAGAAAATTCATAAATTGTTGCATAAAACATGATATATTTAAAAATAACTAACAATATTTTGTTTGCAGTATGAAAAGTTAATCAATTTTATGAATGTCTTATTATATTCATATTTATTATTATGAACATAATAATAAATATGAATATTTAATTTTAAACAATTATTACATATATTTTTTATTTGTTTTAGGGCCACACGAAGATGCGGATTTCCGATCGCCGTTATAGGCGAGACCTCACCCAAAATTTGATAACTTATCTTGTATATATTTTACTAACGGTAAGTGGACATCCTCAAATACTTGTAAATTTATATATTTAAGTTAATAAACTTATGACGTTATCATACAATACAAATTTAAACATTTCAGATCACATAATTGCAGTAAACTTGATACGTTATTTTTACACATGAAAAAGGATATGCTGATCTACACATAGAACAATATCATTATAGTGTAGTAATACACATTTTACAGAAATTTCATCAATAATAAATAAAAGTTTTTCAAAATTGAAACTATTACTGTCATTCTATAAAGAATTTACACGACTTAGAAAATTCTTTGTATATTTTTTATGTTTGAAGATTTGACGTTTGCCAATTATGTTTTGCAAATTTAATTTATCTCAGAAGGAAATCATAGCCTTGTCAACTTTTATAATATATCATATAAAGTGTAGATCAGAGTTTCTCAAACTTTTTGTCACGCTGTAACATTTTTTTGACTCTTTGATATAAGGTGACAGCTGTCATTTTTGACCCATTAAATAAATAACTCATAAGTTAAGAAACGCTGGTGTATATGGTAGAATTGCAATTGAATATTTATGAAATTATTTATTGAAACGTTGAAAGAAAAATGAAATATTTTTTAGCAAATATGTTTAAATTTACATGAGGAATTGCCGAATTAATAAATAAAATGAAATTAAGATGAGCTACATTAACGAGAGCTACATTATCTTAATTATAATAGGTTTAATAATTAGATAATTAGAAATGCAAACGCGTTCACATGCGAGTAACAACTGCCATAATTAATATTTCATTTCGTAATAGAATTGTTCTTGTTCTATTCAGATCAACGATAGAACGTAACACCGCTTTTTTTTATTATTATAGACCACTTAATGCTATTGACTACCAAGATTTGGAACAATCTAATCTAAATTAAATATCGCAGTTTTGCACACGAACATAATAAAGAAAAAAGCGAGATACACACATAACAATATAATCAGTTGCAAACAGGAGGGTACCCTGTGTGGTGTGTCTGCAAAATGCGATGACACGGTGTGATAAAATTTGAATAACAAGTTTGCGAATAATTGTATTTATTATTCATATCCTCTATATGACTTAATCAATTTTGAAACACACACGACTTTATTAATAGTTCCGCTATTATCGATGGCAACGATTGTGAACGGTTCGAGGTTAACGCATATGGTGAACTTTATCATCATGTGATTCTAATGGACGATATAAGATAATTAAATTTAAATAATTGACAATGTTTGTACGTTGAATGATATCGCATGACTGCACAAGTTATGATTTTTTTTTGTGCGGACTTAAACGCTTTGTTTCTCTCTGGAGATCAATTATAAGATATACGTATAATCATAATACTGTGCGCGGTGTATGGACTATCGAGGTCGACGTTTGAATTTTTAATTCCGTATCTAATGTGCAATATGTGCTTTAATTAATGTAATTGTTAGGCAATCTGAACATCCAATTAAGGTTAAACACGCTTTTTATTTCATCTCTTGTTTATTAGTTCCTGTAAAAAATGGAATTTATACCAAAAATACAGTTTTAGATATAGAAAAATCAGTCTTAGAAAATGAAGAATACAAACCTCGTTTAGCGCTGCCTCGATTAACGGAAACCTTAAGCTCAAAATTTACCCGGATTTAAATAATCACGGCATTTCATTGATTCGTATATAATACGATTATTCTACGTGTGCTTTCCTAAAATATATGCTTGTTAGAGGTGTAGATGAGCAGAATATTACTGCAGATTTCTGGTGAGGGCCTTACCAACGATGACCTTCAAGAACTGGAATGCAAGGAATTGAAGAACGCAAAATAGTGATTCTGAAGACGATGAACCAAAAGAACTACAGCTACAGATTTTCTGAGAAAAAGTTTTGAAACGATAACCGAAATCGTTCATCAAATTGTAGTGAATGATCTAAATTTTGACCGGAGTGCAAAAGCAAGAAGAGTAGTTTTGGGTGCGATCGTCAGCTACCAACATTTTCTTAATTAAAGAAAAGGAAATAAATAAATGTTTTTCAAGCTTTTCTATAATATAAAAAATAAATAATAACAATTTATTGGCCAAACATCAATACATAAGAAGAAGAAGAAAAAAGTACAATTTATACATAAATAAATTTTAACATACAATAAAAAATATATATTTTAATAGGCTGGCCAAAGGGCTAACGTCTATAATATAAAAATCCACATTTTAGGTCTATTTGAGCGCAACAATGGTCGTGAAAGGTGGCAACAACGAACACCATGAAGTTGGCGAGGAAAATTCAGCTCGGAAGAGTTAAGCATGGAGAAGAGCATTAGTCGAATATAGTATTGGGACAGTATTAAGTAGAATAGTATTTAGTTACCATCAAGAAGTATAGTATTAAGTATAAAAGTATAAGCATTTTGATACCCCGAAACGATTTCTTCCCTTCGCTCGCGCAACTTGATCCTTCGTATTAAGAAATGATCAATATTATTATTAGCACAAACATTAAAAAATATAAAGACCACATCATCTAAATTGCTTGTAAATGTCGTTTGAAGTAAAATGAAAGAAAAGAGGTAATTAATAAATGTTTTTTTTAATATCACAATAATTGCACATTTATTGTAAGAGGTCAGTAAGAATTTAGTATTTTTTGAATAATAATTACGATATTTTTTTCTGTAAAAAAAACTAATCTAATTGGAATAAATCATTTGATTAAGATAATTATAAAATGGGTATTTTATAGGACGAAAAGATAAAATCAATTTTAATTAACATTTTAGAATGATTTTTTAATCAAACTTTAGTAAATAAACTTGTAAAAATGTAGGATGGCAATTTTCCTCAGTTATAAACATAATTTACAATGTAAGTGTTAATCAAAACTTAGATATAAAAGCAGTGATTTGAAACGTTTAACTTGCTGCGTTGTTAAGCTGTTGCCTAGATGATTTACAACTTAAACGTGTGTGGTATTCTAACCAATCACGGTATTTTTTTTTGTTACATTACTTTTATAGGATTTAACGTTATCTATGATTTATGATGATCTTTCTTAGGTTTATATCAATTTACAATTTTTTTAATGAAAGTGTTCTTTTCTTTTAAAACAACCATTATAGTTCCTTTCACTAACATTACGTTGATGTTATTATCTTCTCCGTAGAAAATGAATAATATGATTTTTTTCATTTACTCGAATGCAAGTTTCTTAATTTGCGTTACTTATTAGATTTATATTAAATAGGGTATCCGAAAAAAATGTATACAAAGTTTGAATGATTATAACTTCATATAATTAATATTTAAATAGCAAAATAATCTACATAAAATATATAACTTTTCCTTCTACCGCAGAAGTGAGCTATTTTCACAAACTTTAATAAACATTTCAATTATTGACTTTGGTCCAGATCATCTTCATTGATAGCAAAAACCTAACTTCTCCATTTTCAACGATTAACACTTAATTTACTGATGCCAATATAGCGACTTGTTTGTCTTACAGATTTTTTGTTACGCAATAACGTTCTAGTACTCTTTCTAGACTGATGAGGTTGGCTGAAGTAGATGTTCTTAGTTTTCCAATCTTGTCTATGAACATAATGAATAGTTCCATTCGTTTCAAACTTATTTTTATCCCAGGGGTTCCCAAACTTTATATTAGCTAAAAACATTCAGTAAATAATTTGACGGTTGACAAAATACTATTGGGAAATATTATTGGCAATGAAAATTTCAAAAGAATCTAAATTTAAATTTATCAAAATAAAAATAAATTCCATGAAAAAAATATGTCTATGTATAAATTAACGTTTTACAGATGTCTTTTTTTTATTGATTTTGTTAATCAATTAGAACGTTTTCGAACAGTAACAGATTATCCGCACTATGCGAGAGTTTGTAAATATTTTATTATTAATATTTATTATATAAATAATTAAAATCCTTTCAAATTCAAATTTATAGACTCAATTGTACATACATTTATATACCGCGATATGCAGATCTAAGTTTTCTCAGAATGTTTAACTTTGTAAATATTGCTTAGCCAATGGTACTTATTACCATAAACACGATTTTCCTTAGTTATGTCCAGTATCTTGTGATATGCGCGGATATAATAACTACACTAGAACCATGAAACATATATATTCTTGAACTACCTGTAACATCGTTCCATCCAAGTACATTCAAAATATGTTTTTTTAACGTTGCAATAAACTACGAAACGCATAACGCATATTTTATTAAATCTCATGTACAAGTCAGACTTTACAAATTATTTAAGAAAATATTGCTCTAATAAATATAAATTTTATGTCCATACTTGATGGAAGTTTATGATAATCCGTAAAATGTGCAGCAATTTAATATATCTGAGCTTCCATCGAGATTTACGAATTAGAATGTAGTTTATTCTTTTTTGCACATTAAAATATATTTAGTTTCTTCCGTTTAATTAAATTATCGAGGCCGTTGATCTTTCGGAACAAATTAAAATTTCTCCTCTAATAATAGTTTATCAGGTGATGGCAATGATTCATCGGTTCCTGGCTTGAAATTCCAACAGCTTTTACGGATATTAACTTCTTTATTTCCCACCCCATTATTTTTTCTTCTATCCTTTTCTTGCGAAATCTCGATAGCCAGATGGTTTATGGATAGTTGGATTTATTTATATGTGTGTGTATAATTTAATGAAGGCGGTACATCGGATCGACATTACTGGGGCATCGTTGTGTGTGAATTAATATGGATAAATCGCGAACTTTCTTCTTAATTTATAGCAATTTGCAAGGAGTATATGTGCCGCAGTTGATATGTATATTTTTTAAATAAATGTACGTTTAGAAGTATGCCATATGGTATAATTTCTATTTAATTATACGCTTTGCAATATGGTTTCTTCTAATTGATAATATTAATTATTTTAAGTATTCCATAAAATGTATACAACAATACATTGGTAATCGGTTCCGCTATTTGAAAGAATAAGCAGCACAAAA